GTTCATCCATGCCGAGATGTCCGCCAGGCAGCCTGAGATCCGTGCAGCTACCGTTGGATCATCTGGTTGAAATGAAAGATAGAGCTGTGTGTCATCGGCATAGCAATGGTAGGAGAAGCCATGTGCCTGTATGATGTGTTCATCTATCTGTCTCTCCGTCCATCTGTCTGTCTCTGTGTCTGTCTGTCCTGTTGAACTCCAGTATGCTGTAATGCTCCTGTCTGTCTGTCTGTAGGTTGTTCATTGGCAGAGTCCTCACATGCATGCGTATTTCCCTGCGCTCACCTCATGGCCGTCTCTGCTGGGTGACATGCTGGCAGACGCCATCAACTGCCTCGGCTTCACCTGGGTAAAAACACACACACACACACACATATACACACACAACAATCTCTATGTCAGCCTTACGCATCATGTTGAATAGTGTGTGTGTGTGTGTGTGTTGTGCAGGCATCTAGTCCAGCGTGCACTGAGCTGGAGATGTGTGTGTTGGACTGGTTGTGTAAAGCGCTCGGGTTGCCAGATCATTATTTACACCATCATCCACAGAGCAGCGGAGGAGGAATCCTGCAGGTATAAAACACACATCACAACTGACGTGCCAATCTGCATGTTTTCTGTTGACTTTTACAGTAGAAATGTCTGTAAGTCATTGCTGTGTGTAGAGTACGGTCAGTGAGTGTACGCTGGTCGCTCTGCTCGCTGCGAGGAAAGACCGAATCCTGCAGATGAAGAGCGAATGCACACACGCCGACACGGACGAGTCAGTGCTGAACTCCAGACTCATCGCATACGCCTCCGATCAGGTGCTTCACCAGCAATCAGAACGACCTGTTCACACGATGCTGCTCTTTGACGGTTCCTTCTGAAAGTGTCTTGGGGTTCATCATGAATGAGTGTGTGTTTTGTTCTGTAGGCTCATTCGTCAGTGGAGAAGGCCGGTCTGATCACTCTGGTGAAGATCAGATTCCTGGAGACGGACGAGGCGTTTTCTCTGCGTGGAGAAACCCTTCAGCACGCCATCGAGGAGGACCGCAGGAGAGGATTCGTGCCTGTGATGGTGAATGAGCCTCAGCTAATCAGCCATTGAGTTGGTTACTGTGCTGCCGTGTGACTGAGTGTGTGTGTGTGTGTGTGTGTGTTTCAGCCTTTTGACACTATTTGATTTATCTCATAATATTTAAAAGGTATTTTTTCCAAGTAGATTTAAAATGTTTAATATAAAAGCTAAATATTGTAAACAGCTCATTAAAAATGAAAAAATGTATACAAAGTAGAATATTTCTTTCTTTTTTTTCTTTCTTTTTTTAAAATATATTTTTTATATGCACCAATATAACAACAAACGGCAATATTTCCCAAACACACTAGTGTTCAAAAGTTTGGGGTCGGTAAGAATTTGTTATAGTTTTAGAAAGAAGTTTCTTCTGCTGACCAAATCTACATTTGCTTGATCAGAAATGCAGAAAAACTAATTTTGTGAAATAATAATAAAATGTAATAGCTCTATTTTAATATATTTTGAAATGTAATTAATTGTAATGATGACAAAGCTGAATTTTCAGCAAGTGGCATTTCAAATAACATTTCTTATTATTATCAATGTTGAAAACAGCTATGCAGCTTGATTTTATTTATTACTTTTTATACTTTTTTTAGGAATCTTTGCTCCTAACATTTTTTTTATTTGATTCTTCTTATAATTTATTTGAAATAGAAGTTTTTAAAAGTCTTTACTGTCAGTTTTGATCAATTTAATGCATCCTTGCTCAATAAAAAAATATTAATTTATTTTAAAACAAATTCTACTGACCCCAAACCTATAAATGGTATTGCAAGTTTTATTTATTATTTTGCAAAATGCAAAAATGCCATGCAGGGCAAAAGTGAGCATTTTTGAGTGATGCAAATGAATCTGATTCACAGAAATTAATCAAATTTACTAAAGTTTGAAATAAAGATGCTAATAAAATTTCTTCCAGAAAATGGCATTTAGGAAACCTAATGGTCTCCTAAGTAAAAAATAAAAATTAGAATAAATGAAATCATTAAGATGCAGCTTAATTGTATATTTCCATTGAAATCACTGTGAATATATAGTGAATATTTGTGTCTTAAAATGTGCATGTAGTTTTAATTTAAACATGTATTTTTGCAAGAGTGTGTGTGTGTGTGTACAAGTTTATACAGCGAGCTTTGCAAAGTAATACCCTTTGTCTCCTCTCTATTGACATCAGAGCCTACAAAAGCCAGAAATGACAAAAAGGGGAAGGGACGAGAGAGAGAGAGAGAGAGAGAGAGAGAGAGAGAGAGAGATGCCAAATGGGGCAGTGAAATGAGGAAGCACAGAGCCAAGAGGCTGCATCACCCCACCACAGCCAACTCTCAGACATGAGTGAGAGTGGCACGCAAAGAGAGGGCGACACCGAGAGAGGCAGGAGGGGGTAAGAGTAAGGGGCACGAAGCCAAAGAGACAGTATCACCTAGCCACAAGGACCAGGCCAATGAGAGGGAGCGAGCAGGGGGGGAAATCTCTCAAAGCTAGCGCTCAGAAGAACCCACTCTCACTCTCTCATACAGTCTGGGAGTGTGTGTGCGTATGTGTGTGCGAGCCCAGGATGAAGGATCGTCTGGCAGGCTGTGCTGGAGTGGCCATGCAGCAGGATTTTCACGGTGCCCCCCTTTCTGTGTGTCTCTGTCCAGACGAGTCCTACCAGAAGCTGGCCGTGGAGACCATGGAGGAGCTGGACTGGTGTCTGGATCAGCTGGAAACCATCCAAACGTACCGCTCCGTCAGCGACATGGCCTCCAACAAGGTGAGAAGATGCAGCACATCACTTTTAAGAGCTTCTTTGGAAGTTGTAAAAACTCTCAGAGGATGCTTGCGCAGTAAAGCGCGTTCAAGAACTTTTTCCTGATAGTTTAGAGAGTTTGTAATGCTTCTCTCAACGGCCGCTTTGTGAATGGGGCTATTGAGAGTCAGTGCTTGTGCCAGTTAGTTTGCATTCAAAATTCAAGCTGCTGTTTTCTAGCTTGCTTTTGAAATCTATTTGAATATGCAGAATATACACTAGATTTGAAATTTTAAGGTTTATTTTGATTTAGTTGTGGTGCATTTTCCAAGGTATTTGAAGTACAAGGCTCCCTTAGAGATGCCACATAACTTTATTATCATAACAGTCTCACACATTCTCTGTATAAATATGTTAGCAAGTCTTCCTAGCTTATTGAACAGGTTATAGCATGTCTTTTTTCCAGCATGTTTTTCCACACCCCTTTGTGTTGCTTTGGAAATGCGGTACACTGCGGTGTGCTCTGAAATTGATTTGATTGACAGCTTGTGGGCCAATTTATATTAACAGTGAGGTTTATCAAGTTAAATTTTAACTTTTTATTAGGAGATCTTTTTTTTTCTTTTTTTTTCTAGACTTGAATACATGTACAGCACTTTATTGCATAATCAAAGCAATATGATATACAATATAATAAATTTTTGGAAACACAAATAGCCTATTTTCTCATGAAACATCTGCTAATATGACAAGCACAATATTTGTTACAAATTCATATGTACATGTTTCAACCTATTTTGTTTATCATCCGTTTTTACTTTTAAACACTATGTGTTGGTTTCACATCTTTGTCAGTGTCATCTCATGTGATACACTGCACAGCTCCACAGTGTGTGTGTGTGTGTGTGTGTGTGTGTCCTGCAGCTGTGTGCGACGCTCGGCTCCACCGGTGTGTGTTCGTTTGACCGTCTCGATGAACTCGGCCCTGTCTGTAAGTCTCATGAATCAGAGAGTCGCTGAACTTTTCTTAAAAAGCATGAGCTTCTCTTGCACTGAAAAACTCTGCTACTGCTCATGTACCAAAATTTTGAATAATATAAACCATATTTATATATCAGGATGTTTTAAGTGCTTGTGAATGTTCTGCAGCACATGAATTACCGAGCTGTTTGTCAGTAAAGTGTCTGTGTGTGTGTGTGTCTGTCTGTGTGTCTGTCTGTGTGTCTGTCTGTGTGTCTGTCTGTGTGTCTGTCTGTGTGTCTGTCTGTGTGTCTGTCTGTGTGTCTGTCTGTGTGTCTGTCTGTGTGTCTGTCTGTGTGTCTGTCTGTGTGTCTGTCTGTGTGTCTGTCTGTGTGTCTGTCTGTGTGTCTGTCTGTGTGTCTGTCTGTGTGTCTGTCTGTGTGTCTGTCTGTGTGTCTGTCTGTGTGTCTGTCTGTGTGTCTGTCTGTGTGTCTGTCTGTGTGTCTGTCTGTGTGTCTGTCTGTGTGTCTGTCTGTGTGTCTGTCTGTGTGTCTGTCTGTGTGTCTGTCTGTGTGTCTGTCTGTGTGTCTGTCTGTGTGTCTGTCTGTGTGTCTGTCTGTGTGTCTGTCTGTGTGTCTGTCTGTGTGTCTGTCTGTGTGTCTGTCTGTGTGTCTGTCTGTGTGTCTGTCTGTGTGTCTGTCTGTGTGTCTGTCTGTGTGTCTGTCTGTGTGTCTGTCTGTGTGTCTGTCTGTGTGTCTGTCTGTGTGTCTGTCTGTGTGTCTGTCTGTGTGTCTGTCTGTGTGTCTGTCTGTGTGTCTGTCTGTGTGTCTGTCTGTGTGTCTGTCTGTGTGTCTGTCTGTGTGTCTGTCTGTGTGTCTGTCTGTGTGTCTGTCTGTGTGTCTGTCTGTGTGTCTGTCTGTGTGTCTGTCTGTGTGTCTGTCTGTGTGTCTGTCTGTGTGTCTGTCTGTGTGTCTGTCTGTGTGTCTGTCTGTGTGTCTGTCTGTGTGTCTGTCTGTGTGTCTGTCTGTGTGTCTGTCTGTGTGTCTGTCTGTGTGTCTGTCTGTGTGTCTGTCTGTGTGTCTGTCTGTGTGTCTGTCTGTGTGTCTGTCTGTGTGTCTGTCTGTGTGTCTGTCTGTGTGTCTGTCTGTGTGTCTGTCTGTGTGTCTGTCTGTGTGTCTGTCTGTGTGTCTGTCTGTGTGTCTGTCTGTGTGTCTGTCTGTGTGTCTGTCTGTGTGTCTGTCTGTGTGTCTGTCTGTGTGTCTGTCTGTGTGTCTGTCTGTGTGTCTGTCTGTGTGTCTGTCTGTGTGTCTGTCTGTGTGTCTGTCTGTGTGTCTGTCTGTGTGTCTGTCTGTGTGTCTGTCTGTGTGTCTGTCTGTGTGTCTGTCTGTGTGTCTGTCTGTGTGTCTGTCTGTGTGTCTGTCTGTGTGTCTGTCTGTGTGTCTGTCTGTGTGTCTGTCTGTGTGTCTGTCTGTGTGTCTGTCTGTGTGTCTGTCTGTGTGTCTGTCTGTGTGTCTGTCTGTGTGTCTGTCTGTGTGTCTGTCTGTGTGTCTGTCTGTGTGTCTGTCTGTGTGTCTGTCTGTGTGTCTGTCTGTGTGTCTGTCTGTGTGTCTGTCTGTGTGTCTGTCTGTGTGTCTGTCTGTGTGTCTGTCTGTGTGTCTGTCTGTGTGTCTGTCTGTGTGTCTGTCTGTGTGTCTGTCTGTGTGTCTGTCTGTGTGTCTGTCTGTGTGTCTGTCTGTGTGTCTGTCTGTGTGTCTGTCTGTGTGTCTGTCTGTGTGTCTGTCTGTGTGTCTGTCTGTGTGTCTGTCTGTGTGTCTGTCTGTGTGTCTGTCTGTGTGTCTGTCTGTGTGTCTGTCTGTGTGTCTGTCTGTGTGTCTGTCTGTGTGTCTGTCTGTGTGTCTGTCTGTGTGTCTGTCTGTGTGTCTGTCTGTGTGTCTGTCTGTGTGTCTGTCTGTGTGTCTGTCTGTGTGTCTGTCTGTGTGTCTGTCTGTGTGTCTGTCTGTGTGTCTGTCTGTGTGTCTGTCTGTGTGTCTGTCTGTGTGTCTGTCTGTGTGTCTGTCTGTGTGTCTGTCTGTGTGTCTGTCTGTGTGTCTGTCTGTGTGTCTGTCTGTGTGTCTGTCTGTGTGTCTGTCTGTGTGTCTGTCTGTGTGTCTGTCTGTGTGTCTGTCTGTGTGTCTGTCTGTGTGTCTGTCTGTGTGTCTGTCTGTGTGTCTGTGTGTGTCTGTGTATCTCTCTGTGTGTGTGTGTGTGTGTGTGTGTGTGTGTAGGTGAGCGTGAGGGTCTCTGGCTGCATGTGGATGCGGCGTACGCAGGTTCTGCTCTGCTGTGTCCTGAACTGCGTTATTTTCTCAACGGAATTGAGTTTGCCGATTCATTCGTCTTCAACCCATCCAAGTGGATGATGGTCCATTTCGACTGTACGGCGTTCTGGTGAGAGACACTTGCATCCTGTTTTTTTCCTGTTTCCTCTTATATTTTCCTGTTGCAATAAATTCAGTAATATTGTGAAATATTATTACAATGTAAAACAGCTGTTTTCTATGTGAATATCTGTTAAACTGTAATGTATTTCTGTGATCAAAGCTGAATTTTCAGCATCATTACTCCAGTCTTCAGTGTCACGTGATTGTTCAAAGGAGCAGCATTTATTTGAAATAGAAATCTTTTGTAACATTATAAATGTCTTTGTCACTTTTGATAATTTTAATGCATCCTTGAGGAATCAAAGTGTTCATTTCTTTCCGAGCGTAAATGAATCTCATGTGAGTTCAGCGTTCGTAAAGCCTCTGTTTGAACCGCAGGGTGAAGAATAAGATGAAGCTCCAGCAGACGTTCACCGTCGACCCGCTTTACCTGAGACACGAGAACTCAGACGCCACTGACTTCATGGTAGAGTCACGTTACGCTAGTCAGAATGTGTTTATCTGTTTGTCTCCCTGCTGTGTATTGATTAGCGCTCATCTCCCGCAGCACTGGCAGATCTCTCTGAGCCGCCGCTTTCGCTCTCTGAAGCTGTGGTTTGTGATGCGCTCCTTCGGTCTGAAGAACCTGCAGGATCACATTCGACACGTGAGACGCGCCATTATGCTCTAGTCTAGTCATATAATCATTCTGCTCCGGGTGTGTGTGTTCACTGCTGTGTGTGTGCACTTAGGATGGGTTAAATGCAGAGCACTAGTTCCTAGTATGGGTAACCATACTTGGCCACATGTCACTTCACTCACTTAATCATTCAGAACCTTTACAAATCCTCAGAAATGAACATGATGAGAAAATTATTTCTTAAATCATTGTAAGGCAAATAGCAGCCCTCAATTCAACAAGTCCGTTTACGTTCGATCGGTTTCACGAACAGTCAAAGCTAATGCTGCCGTTTCCTGTCTGTGATGATGCGTTTCCTGTGATGTCAGAGCGTGGAGATGGCGAAGCTGTTCGAGTCTCTGGTCAGAAACGACACAAACTTCCAGATCCCAGCACAGCGGCACCTCGGCCTGGTCGTCTTCTGCTTACGAGTGAGTCATCTAATGCCACCATACTCGCAGGAAATCCTCACAATCACATGTTTATTGATCATGTGTCTTATAAAAACTCCTGCGCTGATATGAGATGGTGACACACACTGTTTATCATGTTTCTGAATGATAGCGTATTCATGAGCCGTGGTATTTGAAGAGTGATGTTCTTAGTGTTTCCGTCTTGTTTTCCAGTGCAAATATTGAAAAGATGCATTTACTTCAGACGCACGGTAACATGAGATGTCTGGTTTATTTCAAAGTGAAAGCTAGTTGATTTTTCTGAGCCCATTGGTAGATATTTGTTCTTGTTTTAAGCACAAACTACTATTACAAACTCACATATTTTACAGTGCTGTTCCAGTGGATGTACAATGTCTGAAAAAAGCTGTCACTGTGGCAGTGTTACCCCTAAAGTGTGTGTATTTGTACCTAAATGGTACATATTTGTATCTTTTGAAAAATTCCCGCTCCAGTGACAGCATTCGTACCTTTATTTCTGAGAGTTCTGTCCGCAGTATTATGTAGTAGTTAATGTGACATCTGCATCATCTACAATGTGTGTGTGCAGTTTCTACATGATTACACAAATCACAGACGGCAAAAACTTGTTGATGGTTTCGATCACTTCCATGTATTCAAATACTGCCGCTTTATATTCCTGCGTTCACATCAGCACCTTTCTTCTGTCCGCAGGCTGGAAACGGAGCGACGCAGGAGTTACTGCGCAAACTGACTAAATCAGGCCAGATGTTTCTGATTCCAGCCGCCATCGGGAACAAACTCATCATCCGCTTCGCCGTGACGTCGCAGTTCACGAGTGCTCAGGACATCCAGAGGGACTGGAGCCTGATCCGGCAGACGGCCAGAGAGGTGCAGCGCTCCTGCGCTCTCACACGCCAGCCCAGCGTGATCTCAGACGAGAGCTGCGAGGAGAACGAGGACGAGCTGAGCCGCATGCGTCTGGAGCCCATGATAGACGAGCGTCTGGTGCGGCAGGGACAGAGACGTGCCACCCGCTCGCTGAGCTGCAGCGCTGAGCTCCCCCCCGCCCGAGCCGAGCGCACGCCGCTGCAGAGAGACGCCCCGCTGGAGCAGATCCCCGAGCGGCCGGAGCACAGAGCGCAGAAGAGGCTGCTGAAGTTCCACAGCGTGCCCAGTCTGTCGCAGGTGTGGGCGCAGTGTGGCATGCAGCAGCTCTACCAGCCCTTCAGACGAGGATGGGTCACCAGCAGAGCCAGCTGCTTCAACTGCTTCCCTCTGGAGACCAGCCCGCTGCCCACCAAATAACACACACACACACACACTCACACACACTCACTCTCACACACACACACAAACAAACAAACACGCACGCACGCACTCACACACACACGCGCACACTCACACACACTCACTCACACACACACACACACACACACACACACACT